ATATATATATATATAATATGTGTATAGATCGTAGAATGAACATGCAGAAGCATTGTAAATGTCTCATGCGAGTCCCAAGTTTCTCTGTTCTTTCCGCGGAAATGAGCCACGGCAGGTTCCTGCACTCGCTGGGCTATGCCCACGGTAGCGTCTGCCCAAGCAACGTCTGGCTCAATGCCAATGAGCCTCGGTTGGAACTTCCCAGGGTCTAGGTTGGGTACAGGGTTTAGGGGTTTAGGGTTTAGGGAACGCCAATGAGCCTTTTGGAACTTCCCAGGGTTCAGGGTTGAGGGTTGAATGTAGGAACCTGATTAAGAAACCCTGGCCTTATACTCCAAATATATTAGGGTACATATTAAGAACCCTAATAAAGGCCCAGGGTTTAGAGTGGGTACAGTTGGATAATATTTATATTATGGATATATTAGGCCCTTAGTAGTAGCCCTATTATAGACTGTTGCTGCAGTACCCAAGGTTTAGGGTTAAGGGTTTAGGTTTGAACTTCCCAGGGTTTTAAAGCTCTTGGGTCTCGGCTTCTGGTCGCAGGTTTAACGATCCAAGGTTTAGGGCTAACTACTTTTCCTTTAGCATCTTGAAAAATGGAGCGTAGAATCCAAGGGCCAGCAACCCCCAGAGGTGAGGAGATGCGTTTAGAATCACATGCAAGGAAAGTCTAGGATATTTTCAGGTGGGTAGTTACCGTTATAGGAGCCTTATAGAAGCTCTATATGCCTTATAGAAGCCTTATAGAAGCCTTGTATACCCTAAACTCCCCACCTGTAGTTTCCGTTAAGAAAAGGCCAGGGCTGTGGCTCGAAAATTTGAGGGGTCTCTCTGATGCCTTCGTGCCTGCAGAAGGACAAGAACAATGTTTGATGCAGGGGTTATCGTAGATCCATGCGGGACTACAGGGAGTTCGATGCAGGTTATCGTACATCTATGCGGGGGTACGGGGAGATACCATTGCTAGCGATTCGGGTCTTTGTATCTATTTGCTTTCGGAGTTTGCACGTGGTTGTTTACGGGAAGTCTATAACCCTACAAACCCTAAGCCCATTTTATCCAGTCCTTCGGGGAATTTGCAAACGCAAAGTTTCCGTCATGCCCAACTTAGCCAAGACGGAGATGTGGAGCTTCAGATATTCGGGGCGTGCTCAAGGCTGCAAGGCAGTACTCTTTTGGTGTCGGGTGGCAGGCCCGTATGCACGTAATTGCTCCTTCCTTTGCGCAAGATTCGAAGCTAAAGGGGATCAATCATATAGGGGCCTGGGGTCTCCTTGTCATAAGTATAGTGTAACATACCCCGGACCCCTATTCTAATGATTAAGGCCCATACATGTTATAGATCTGAGTACTTTG